ATGCATCTCCATCACTGAGTGCGATGTGCATCTCGATACGTTGCCTACGATACGATACATTAACAATACATTTGAAGCACCGAGCGATGAGATACAATACGATTCACCCCATTGCGATACAGTTAGATACGATTTGATTCACCATTATGCGATTCGGGGCGATAAGATGAGATTCAACACGATGCAAAAATAATGATACAATTCAATATGGTACGACAGAGGATTTCGTTTTATTCCTCATATGCAGCAAGTCATAAATCAACAAAAAAGTGCTTCACATATTTGGTTCTCTCTGCTAGTACTGCGCATCCCATCATACTGTTTCTTTTTTACCTTAAAACACAAACACTTGGACCGTTCACAAACAGGCCTTTTCACAAGTGTAGTGTTCTCTGTCTCCAGAGTACAGTACACCTCACAATTAAACAATGTAAGGATGCGTTGCCCATGATTAACAATGTGCAAATAACAACTGCCATAGTGCAATGCCCATNCTCATTTTGTCTCTCATAATTGAGGTATACCTAGGATGAAAATGACAGGCCTCTCATCTTTTTAAGTGGGAGAACTTGCACAATTGGTGGCTGACTAAATACTTTTTTGCCCCACTGTATATGAACAATAAAGAATACAAATAACCTTTCACAAACAGGCATTTCCTAACTGCTTACAGTAAGGAAGACATTTCAACTGTTATTGGCCGTCACAGGCTGCTGTAAACTAAACACCTCTCTCTCTGACAGAACACCTCACTCAGTGATTTCACTCAAATGTCTAACTTTCAGGTTTCTCTTTTCAGCCCATGTCGCCTCTTTATGTGCGTCTCTAAGTTCCTCGTACTACTTGTGTACTTTAAAGCGGCACGGCATCGTTTACAATTTGCTTGCGATTTGTGAAGTTGTCCGTCTTTCTGGAAAAATCCGAAGTGTTGCCAAACGTTTGATGTGTTTCTCTTTCTCCTCGACTTCCATGTGTGTTGATAACTGAGACTCTCGGCCTCCGTAGTGACGAAGCAAAGATCAAAGATCGTCTCTGCTGAGTGCTCACAGGATGAGGGGATATTATATGAATGAATCGTTTCTTTTACGATGCAAAGACGCTACAATCGATGCATCGCGAGTTCAGCCCAAACTGTAGCCGGTGTGCACTCTTTCAACCGGTGCACTCGCATCTTGAACGTTTATGCCGGTGCACCGATGCGAATCGGTGAATCTTAACATCCCTAATGTGCATGTGTTTTAATCTTGTGTGTGTGTGTGTGTGTAGGTATTGCTGCATTACCAAACAGTGAGTGAGCCAGCCACCATTAGGAAACTGATAAGTGTTCTACACAAAAGCAGCGGCGACGTCATCAAGAAGAAACCAAAGTGAGTGTGGATTTGATCACATTTAATATTATGCGAGGTGGACCCTGAAGGTGTTATCTTTGTATTAATGACCTCCTCGCTGCACTTTATCCCACTTATTACACGGTTATACTAAATAAACCAATGACTTGACTCGCAACATTGATTATAAATTATTTTATTGATTTCAAAATGATGGTATAGCTTCAGCTTAAAAAAAGAATAGTCAGTTCCGCTGCGTACCCACGGCTAAAACTCCAAGTTGACCAATCAGAATCAAGTATTCAACCAAGCCGTGTTATATAAATGCATAGTACACAGTAGTTCTAATGTGTGCTGCAATAGCCACAACTTTCAAATGTCCCCAAGAAGGGCATCGTGTTCCCTTCTAAATATATGCTTGATAAAACAACATCATTTGTAATAATTCTTAGAAATTGGACAAAATCCAGGTTATCCTCACTTCCTGTTTGTGTTTGCTGTGCAGGTGTTTGAGTAAAGGTATGAATGCCATCGTGGAGATCCAGACGCAGAGGCCGGTGGCATTAGAGCTGTACAAAGACTACAAGGAACTCGGCCGCTTCATGCTCAGATATGTCGGCTCCACCATAGCTGCAGGGGTCGTCACTGAGGTAAAATGGGAATGATCGAAGGACAAAAACAATATACAGATGTGTGCTGTTGTTTTTATTTACGAGCGTGAATTCTCTTTTTTCCACGGCAGATCAAAGAATGAGGAGCGTTTCCATGGACACAGAGCCGGTCTGAACTTGCTCTACAGGCTGCCTGCAGCCAGAGACAAAGTGCAATTCCTCCACAGATGTCCCTCAGGGACTCAGCGTCATTTTCATCCATCCACCTCTCCATCCAGCTGCTCTGCCTGACTGCTCCAAACAACACCAAAATGCATGGATATGCGGCAAGATGATCCAGCCTCCTGCGACAAACAGGCGCATTACCCAGCCACCCCATAACTTCAGATTTATTTTCGTCTGACTTTGTTTTTTAGTAAAATCAGGCCAAATTAAGAATATAATCCGACTTTGAAAGACACTTTTACCAACAGGAGATTTCCACAGTTATTTATGTCACTGTACTTTCCTCTAAGCAACCTTTTCTTGACTGAAAAAGCATGAATCCTGTTGGAACAACTATTGAAACATTTATTTCTCCTGTAACGGACGTCCAGATTTCTCCTTCATGTAAAGGTTAAGATGAGGATATACACCCCAGGTCTTTTGCATAATAAGTCCCTCCTGAGATTTTTAATTTAGACAGAGATGAACAAATGAAATTAAGTTATTAGATATTATTTTTACCATAGTATGTTGACATCTAACCAAGCGAGAATAGTTTGTGAGCAAAAAAGGGAAACTCAAATCTTCACCACTGGACAAAGACACACATGTCTAATTTAAGTTAACAAAATAGTTGAAATGCTTCCACAGTAAAGCACCAACATGCTTTTTGAAGTACTCATCTGTGTTTTGTTTTTTCTTTCAAAGACTTGGTTAAATGAAGAAGAGCAGCTGTGTTTCTGTTTTCTCCATGTGTTGTGAAGGAGGACGATGCCAAATGAACATGACGTCAGTAATCTGTGGTTTGTGTTTTGATTTCAGCAGTGTTCACTTTATATTCAATTGAAAAAAAAAAGGTGCGAGGATTCTTGATCATTTAAAAAGACATACGCTAAGTAAGAAATGAAAATGTAGAGGTGATAGTTTCCTGTCGGGTTTGACAGTGACACAGCTGGGGTTGTTACCGCTGGAGTGGAAAGCACCAAAAAAAAAAAAGAATGCACATCGAAGGAAAAATAGGTCAGAGATTTAGAAAACTGCCCACAATGCTTCTCCAGTTTCCAGTGGTGGACTTTGAAGTGACAAGCATGTGTAACCGCGGCTTACAAAGTTCCACTTCACAGAAAATGACTTGAAAGACAAGGACAATTAAAGTCAAAACGGTGTGAGAACTTTAAGAATTTTATGGCAAAGAATCCTAAGTTCCCAGGCTCCTGACATATACTGTAGTCGGTATACTAAGACATCAAGAGTGCAATAAGAATATTGAAAGGGACATAGTGCATGTAAAGTTCAGGAATAAGTCAACTATACTCATAAACCATAATGAGATTACAGTGTGGAAAGTTATTACACAACAGTCACAAAATGTGGGTCGAAGGTGTTGTTAGGTTGTGCCTCTGATTTAAAGTGTATATAGTCCTTGTATGCATGCACAGGAAAGAATGTGTGCATTGAAGATACACTGAATGAATGGAAATATAGTGTAATTGTATGCTTTTGGGATTTTTTTAAATGTCTTTGAATTGCATAATTTGGAAGGTTTTGTGCGCAGACTGTGTCTTTTAGGTGATACTCAGGTATCTCTGTTAAATGTGACGCATCCCGCTAAATAATTTTCATTAAATCTAATATGGCTGATTATATACTATGACTCCCTGCAGCTGAAGTTGCTGGCTCAGTCACAAACACTGCAAAGCTATATAACTTGGCCGGGGCAAAGGTCTCAAAAATACATGACTTATTTCGGTATCCACAAAGAAAAAACAACAGCGTAAATCTAAGACCCTTTAAGACGGCTCTACACTGTAAGTTTATGCTATATTGATGAAGTATAATGTCATTGCTGGGTCTCTTAACTACAGTGTAACCTAATGAAGAGGATTTTCCACCACAGTGTACAGTGTAGGTCCATAGGATGGCAGTGTTCAGCACATTTTCTGTCATCTCCAATAAGAAGTGTTCATGTTTTGTGAGGTTAGCAACATGTTCTGCTACAGAAATGGGACCAACTTTGACACAGAGAGCGGTAAAAGCCTTTTGGTCTCCAGACCTTTGACCTGAAATAATGAATAACTTTCTCTGTAAATGGATTGGAGTATTGCTGTTGCTGCTTCGCCAGTCTCCTTTCTTTATTAGCCATTTCTAAAACTGACCGTAATTGTGTTGTCACGTAGGCCTATATACAAAGCCAAAAACAAGCTCTTGAAAAAACTGTATTCACTAAGTTTATTTCTGCGTTGTCATGATAGACAAGCGGAATTGTTCATGGCACTTTGTGAGATACAGGCCACACACAACCTTGAGCTTTAGAAAAAGGGTTAATCTTTAACATTTATGTAGGAAACCGTCTTTAAACAGAAATACCTGAACTTGTGCCTGCTGCTGCTATCCTTTACCTGCAACAAAGCAACCTCACCTCGAGGTCCATTAGGTTGCTGCTATGGAGCTTCTGATCTCATCGCATGTAGTCAGGCCAAGTTTGTACATGCCTTTTTGAAAAAACTATTCCCACCCAAAATGACTAAAAAATACTTTGGAAAAGTGATACAACTTTACTTTCAACATCACACAACGTCACAGTATAGATGCAAGTAAATGTACCATTTCTGTCAATAAGAGAAAAAACATGTGTAAGTAACTGACAAACTTTTTGAAATAATGATTAAAGAAGAAGCAAAAATAAGAAGTAGCCTCTAAAGGAGGAGCTAGTTTTGCTATTATTTTTCAAGTTATTTTGAGACTTACTCATTATCTTGAATTACTAAGCCATTGTATTTTAAGAAAGTGCAGGTACTCATCACATTGGCATCTTCGAGCCTCTTACATTTCAACCTTTGTATTCAGTAGGGCAGGCTATTAGTTATCAAACACTAAAGGGTGTAATAGCCTAGAGACAAAATAAAAGATATACAAAAAGGTATTTTTAGACACCTGCTTTTCAAACTTTATTGATATATTATTTCACTTTTTTCCAAGACCTTTAAATGCTAACCAGTGCTAAAGGGAATCCTAGGCCTAGTGCTGCTCACCATCTTGGGTTTTATAGAGAAACGTGACAGAGGCCGCTGTCGAGTGGGAGGGTCGGTCCAAAGTAACTTCATATCGTTGGCTTAATATGCTCCAGACCTGCAGCAGTCTGCTGTTATTCTCTCAATTTGTAGCAATAGTTTGATATCCTCGACGTGCAGCCATGCCGAACCCCTCTGAGCAGAGCTCTTGTTTGGTTCTGGAGAACTTCATCGGAGGGAAGTTCGTCCCGTGTCGGACTCACATCGACTCCTACGACCCGTCCGTCGGAGAGGTTTACTGCAGGGTGCCGGACAGCGGGGCGCCGGAGGTGTGTCACCCTCATGCTATATGACTAGATTTATAACTATAACCTTCTGCACTGTTTTTCCTACTTACTCTGGAGTAGCATTATTTTGATTGAGAATGTAGTGCAAAGCCTACAACCCATAGGCCTTGATGCTTCCTGTTGCTGCAAATCACGCCTTTTAAAGATAACATGTTGAGATTTCACAAAAGTGTGGTCATTTCTGAGTTACCACAAATGTTAAACAAATAATGGCTTTGTTGGTGCATTTGACCTGTGAGAGTTGTTATCTAGTTGCTGTCTTTGTATCTGTGTTTTTTGAGTTAATTATTTCCATGTTGTGCTTCTTTATGCTCGCTAGATAATGATCCCAGACTTTACAATGACATTCTTTATGGCAGGCATATTGACCTGGATTGCATATTTGTTATAATCACACATTACTGCATTTAAACCAGGTTTAACTTTTGCATGGACTTGCAGAAGTGTCATATAGGCTATTCTTCATGTTGAATATCCAGGTTCAGATGCTGCATGTGAAACACTGCTCGAGAGAGACCTTTACTCTTTGTAGAGTAAACAGTGAATTAATCATTAAACACATGAACGACTTGAGTCAATAATTTAACTTTTCATATGAGATCAAAGTTGTTAGCCATTATATAAATGTACACCCAGACTCCCCCCAGTGTATCCCCGACCACTAGACTCAGGGACAGTTTTATCCATCAGGCCTGAGACTTTAAAATTCCTGAGCTAAGTGAAGTTCCATTACAAATGTAAATGTCACACATTTCCAATATATTAATACAACGTATAATATTTGAATCCCCATTTTAAATTATTTAGTTTTACATAAAGTTTTGTCTAATTCACTTCGTTCCTGCATTTTACTTGCACAATTGATGGCACTATATTATTTCTTATAATATAAGTTTATTTGATGTGTCAATCAATCAATGAATCAATCAATGAATCAATGAATCAATCAATGTTTATTTATATAGCCCAATATCACAAATGTTACATTTGTCTCAGTGGACTTCACAGTTTGTACAGAATATCAGTATGACAATACGACACCCTCTGTCCTTAGACCCTCACATCGTACAGGGAAAAACTTCCGGAGAAAACCCAAAGTTTAAAGTGAAAAATGGGAGATACCTCAGGGAGAGCAACAGAGGAGGGATCCCTCTCCCAGGACGGACAGACGTGCAATAGATGCCGTGTTTCTCTTTCCATTTCCATTTCCAACCATTGTGCCTAAGCTTTTTTGCACAAGAAAACCTTTGAATCTCCATACTTGTGATGCCTGTTGTTGTGGCCTCACACAAAAGGGATTTTTATGATGAAGGCATACAGTACTTTACAAGAACAATACAGAAAACTTAATGCAAAAATAACAATTGTATGTCTCCTTCAGATATGTCTTGGTCCCATGTTGGTAACTGCTGAAACCTCAATGTGTTAACCTCTCTGTGCTTCCCCTCCTGCAGGTGGAGGCAGCGGTGGCGGCGGCTAAGGAAGCGTTCCCCGGGTGGTCCGCTCGCAGCCCGGAGCAGCGGGCTCAGGTCCTCAACAAGCTGGCCGACCTGTTGGACGCCAACGTGGAGGAGTTCGCCCAAGCTGAATCCAGGGACCAAGGTGTGCTATACTGTTGTAAAACCGGTGGTATCAACCCAAAAGTCAGTCAGATTATCAGCCAGTAGCACTGAGTCAGTCAGAGAACATTACTGCATGCTCCAATTATTGGATTTCATATTATTAGAACCCAGATTTCAAAACCCTCATATGCAGGTCCTGTTGAGGTGTAGTATGACTGATTACATGCCTAGGGTTGTAACTTATTACAATTTTAATATAATATTAATTATTAATTCAATTATAGATTAATCTCCAAAACAATTGATTCAACACAAAGTGCCTAAGGTCAAAGGTCATGTTAATTATGACCAACTGTCAAAAACGTAGACAATCAGGTTACAACATTTAGTAAGTTGAGTAAAAGCCATAAGAAGCAGCCCATTCTAATAATTGTATGGAAACATGAGTAAAGTCTAAAACTGATTTATTTTTTGGTCAAGATCTTTGTTCTAAGTAACTTCTTTCTCATAATGAAAAAGATTAAAAATGACTCTCTTGCCTCTCAGAACTTCTTAACCTGGAACAAATAAATGTTTGACTTTTGTTCTTGAAAATGTACTTAAGTTATGAAACTTTTTTCAAATTCAGTTGATTTCTAATCAAATAATGTATTGATTGAGGCCGCTGTAAACATATTATACATGCAAATATTTGATCATAATAAGCAATATTTATTGTTAGTGAACATAAAGAGCTTGCGAGTACTTTACGCATGTTTGGTTCACCTGTGTATTAGATTCATAATATTGTGAACTAAACTGACATTTGGCCTGTGGGTGGCACTAGAGGACCGCTCAAACATTGAACAAAATGAAGTGATCATGACCTGGGGTTGATATTGAACTATTTTGAGTGTAAGCAGGTGCTGTTTTATTATCCACTGTCCACTATTATCCCTTATGTTTTTGTTGTGACTTTACAGGTAAAACAGTAACATTTGCACGGACTGTTGACATTCCCCGATCTGCGTACAACTTCCGCTTCTTTGCCTCATCACTGTTGCACCACACCAACGACTGCAGCCAGATGGACCACATGGGCTGCCTGCACTACACCATCCGCTGCCCTGTGGGAGTGGGTGAGAGCTCAGTATCTCTGCATTAAAACCTGTTATTTTTTTCGTGCTTCATATGTTTTAAATCTGTGTTTTGGTTTTGTGCAGCCGGTCTGATCAGCCCCTGGAACCTCCCCCTGTACCTGCTGACCTGGAAGATTGCTCCTGCCATCGCTGCAGGCAACACAGTGGTGGCCAAACCCAGCGAGATGACCTCTGTGACTGCCTGGATGATGTGCAAGTTGATGCAGCAGGCTGGTAGGACTACACCACCCACAATGCAATTGGAATCTATTTACATGCACAGAAGATATACCAGAATCAGAATAAGAATACCTGTATTAGTCCCACAGAGGGGACATTTACATTGTTAAAGCAGAAAAGAGCCAAAGACAGCTTAATGTTACCTAAGAAGCATGCATAACAAAATATTAAAGATAAGAAAAACAAACAAAAAAAAGAAAGAAAACTACACTTCATAAATCCTATAAAAAATCCCATGCTGCTGTAAAGACATTGCTTGATTTAAAAATATATAATAAAAAGCATTATCCGTACTACGGAGCCCCCCTGGTGACATTGGTGAAAAAATATGAATACGTGGCCACGTATTAATAATGCGTGGCCACGAATGAGTTATTATGTTCCCACGCGTTAGTAATTTGTGGGAACACAATAATTATTACGCAATAACTAAATCCAGATAGTCTATAGAAACTGATGACTGAGTGACAACACTACAGATGTAGCACCTCATTTCAGACCGTTTGAAACGCGAGGGCCGTGGCCGGCACGGGGTCTGCCCTCGCTCAAAGGAAAACCTCCAGCGTGACTTGAGATCGCCCCCTTGATAAATAAATTTAATTATAATGAAGCCAGCTGCAATGGATCATGGACTCTGATACAGTACGGTAGATTCATGTTTGGTATGCTACTACTGTATGGCGGATCTTTGTTAAGATCCATATGTCACGGATAGGATCATACTATGTGCTAAATAAGAGACATGTAATCATTTAGGCTACATAACATCACCATGTTTTTATTTAACAAAATAATGTTGGTTAGTCCACAACTACTGTACAAAAAACATTAGGAAGCCCGCCGGCTCCAAAAACGAATGGGAGGAAATGCTCTCGATTTTTAATTCTAATTTAATCATCATCTTCACCACAATCATTTATGTTTATGCTCGCCGAATTTACATGAAAGCACTGACAAATATGAATATATTGTAGTCAACTTCATTAAAACGTTATTAACGTGCCTAAACTCAGTAATTCACTAGGGTCCCGACGCGTAGCGGAGGGATCTTGAGTTTCCTCATTACAGAGCTCAATAATTATTGCGTGGCAACGCATTACTAATTTGTGGGAACATAATAACTAATTCATGGGAACATAATAACTAAATCGTGGCCACGCATTATTAATACGTGGCCACAAATTAATATTTTCTCACCAATGTCACCAGGGGGACAGTCTCAGTTGCAGA